AGAGGCCTCCAAGACGACCCCATAGCGCCCCAAGAGCGCTCGAAGACCGCTTAAGGCGGCCTCAAGACAGCCCAAGAGGCTCCCAGGAGGACCCCCACAAAGCAAACATCGACCCGTTCCCGTCGGAAAACGTACAATTTTAGCATCATCGCTTGTTTGGTTTCGAGGGCGTCCAAGGTGGCCCACGAAGCCCCCAAGGTCGCTCCAAGACGGCCCAGGAGGCCCCCAAGAGGGCCCCAAGACGGCCCGAGAGAGTCCAATGACGGCCCAAGAGCGACCTCAAAGAGGCCCACAAGGCTCCCAAGAGAGCCCCGAGAGAGCCACAGGAGGGCCACCACAGAGCCCCAGGAGCGCCCGAAGACGGCCCCGGCCCCCCAAGACTGCCCAAGAGCGCTACAGGACGGCCATCGAGGGCCCCAAATTAGCCCCAAGAGGCCGCAAGAGGGCCGCCAAGAAGGCCAAGTGATGCCATTTTGTATGATTTTCTGTTGTTTTGGCGTTCTCGCCTCTCCGGTCTCTCAGCAGCTCACGACGGCCTCAGAGGCATCCCCCCGATCGCCCCAAGATCCCCAAGACAGCCCAGGAGGCGCCCAAGACGACCAATGAGCGCCCGACGAGGGCCCCAAGAGAGGCCCAAGAGGGGGAGCTCGAACTGACAGTTCGAGCCCTCCGCCCCGGGCCTTCCGACACGGGCGGGTGAACGCTAGCCACGCCTGTCTCTGGGGCCGCAGGTGGAGCTCCTTGAGGGCACGACCTGTGCGACAATCGATGTCGTCACGCTTTCCTACAGCCAGAGCTTGCTAGAACCTAAGCGCGCGAAGCGCGCGCGTGGTTCTAGCAAGCTAGGTGGTACGATCAATGTTGTGCAATCAAGGTGGTGCAACCCATGTGATGCAATCGATGTGGCGCGTGTTGCAAAAACAGTGTTTCTTGTTATCTTTCTGGGGCACTCGGTGTTGACATCTCTACGAGACCTAAGGACTGATGAAGGATTCCGGCATGCGCGCGCGACGACGCGCGCGTGTGCACTAGGCCCTACGTTTTTGCGGGGGGTTCTTGCAACAGCACGCGCGCAAGAGCATTCGAACGATTTCGACATGCGCTCGCGATAGGTACGTTTGGTAGCACAGGTGAACATGTTGACCAACTGGCGGCTTTTTTTTGTTCAGAATTTGAAATAACGCGAGCGCAGGCTTTTGTGAACACTCTGGTTGCGAAGCCTTTGTATATGTTTTTTGGGCATTCGGTTTTGAAATCCTTCTGCCACTCAAGGTTTTTGAAGGATTTCGGCATGCGCGCGCGACGACGAGCGAGTGTGCACTTCGCCAAATGTTGTTGACAAGGGATTTTCGAATACTGATGATCTTCGTTGAGCGAGTGTGTGCGCATAGGTTTTTGCAGAGGACGAGGGGGGACCGATAAAGGGATTGTCTGGGATGCTATGAGGTCATATGTAGGATGGACGATGGGGCATAGTCATATGTACATCGCAATTCAAAAAGGCGGACCTGGGTGGGGGAGGCAGATCGTAATACTCTTTTAGAACAGAGCATCAATGGGAATCAATGCGAAGCAATGCAAATCAACGCAATGCAACGCAATGCAAAGCAATGCGAAGCAAATCGATGCAAAGTAATTCCACGCACTGCACATCAATGCAACGCAATGCGAAGCAATGCGCATGAAGGCAAAGCGGTGCAATGCAACGTAGTGCAAAGCAATGAGCTCAATGCGAAGCAATGCAAAACAATGCAAAACAATGTAAAACAATGCAAAGCACGGCATAGCAGTGCAAGCCAAGCAAAGCAATGCGATACAATGCAAAGCAAGGCATGGCAACGCAACGCAGTGCACAGCAATGCAAAGCGAGGGGATTGCAAGCCGCTGCCACGCGATTGCAGCGCAATGCGATCGCAATGCGATGCATAGCGATTGCAGTGCAACGGGGGGAGACGGGGGGTGCACCGGGGTGGCGGCGGGAGCGGGGCCGCTGGGGCCTCACTCTGCACGCAGGTGGAACGAGAGAGAGGTGCGTCAGACAAATATTCTAACTCTTAGTTGGCGTTTTTGCCATCGTTGTACTAACACTGCTTCCCCATGGCATTCCGTCACCTTTCCTCTTCCTCGTTCTCGCCCTGCCCTGCGAGCCCTTCCCCATCATCCTCTGTTTTTTCTGTTGCGGAGGCTCCTCCTGGGAGAGCCTCTGGCCTCTGGGGGGTCTTGCGAACGCTTTGTAAGGGCTTTCTGAGTTCCTCTGGAAGCCTCCTGGCCTTTTGGGGCCTCTGGAGGCTTCCTCGGGCTACCTTGTACCTTGCTGCGAAGCAATGCCTCCCTCAACGACCAGGTCACGATTCGGAGAGCTTCGGGGGGCGTCTTGGAGCCATCTTGGACCGTCACGGGGCTCTCTTCGGGCCATCTTTGGGCCCTATTGGGTCGTCTTGGTTTTCTATCAAAGCGCCATAGGTGTGCGCAAACAACCGGTTTCTTCCCGCGGCGCCTTCAAGGTGCTCGGAGGGGCCGCGCTGGCTCCCGTTCGTCTCACATGCCGAGGAGTTGACCCATGGTTCGGACCAAATAGCGACACGCCAGGGGAAGAAACGCTGCTGACTGCATGGCGAAATTAGCGGCTACCAGCGGTCCCCAAGCTAGCCAACTCGAGACCGAATTTGCGGAGACAGACAGCAAACTGCCAGGCAAAGGTTTGAGGTTGGTTTCGGGGACACTACAGCTTTTGCCCGCGGTGAGGCCATAGGCGGGGTCCGAATCGGGCTATCAAGTGTCTCAGCCCGCCCACAGGGGTGGCGGCTGCGGCGCCCTCATGGGGCCTGGGAATTCCTCCTCCGAGGTCCCGTCCGCCAGGTGCACTGAATAATGTCCAGGAAATTGTTAGCACCATTTGGCACTTGACGCCGACCCCCGAGGTCATGACATTTACTATCTCGGCAATCTTGATGAGAATGTGCATTTGAACGTTTTGCTCTGCCATGCGGTTGTTCTGGCGAGTCCGATCCCCGAGGTTTTCACACGGACTGCCCGAGTGTGTGCCCTAGCAGCGGCAGGACCCTCCAGTTACAGCCTGCTTTGGAGGTAGACACCCTGAAGGAATTCCCCCATTGCCCCTGGCCCAAGTCGCTAGAAAGCTCAAGAAGACCCTGCCAAGCCAGGCGAGCAGAGGCAGTCGAACTCATCAATCAATCGTCGAGCTGGTCCTCGCCTTCCTCTGCTTCCATTTCCTTCTCTTTCTCCTCCCCCTCCTCCTCCTCCTCCTCCTCCTCCCCTCCTCTCCTCTTTCTCCTCCTGTTTTACCCTCGTTTTCCCAACCCCTTCTTGCCCCCCACCTCGCAGTCGTCCTTGGCCACCTGGTCTTCCCTCCTCTTCCTCCTCCTGCTCCTCCTTCTCCTCCATCCCTCCTCCTCCTCCTCCTCCTGCTCCTCCTCCTCTTCCTCCTCATTCTCCTCCTTCCTTGCTCTTCCCTCCCCCCCTCTCCTCCTCCTCCCCCTTCTCCCGTTCCTCCTCCTTCTTCTCCTCCCGCTTCTCCCGCTCCTCCTCCCTCCCTTTCTCTTCCCCCCTTCGGCCTCTCCGTCCTCTCTCTTTCTCCCCCTCCCCCTCATTTTTGTCCTCCTGGTCCTTCTCCTTCTCCTTCCCCTTCTCCTTCTCCTCCTCCTCCCCCTCCACACTCCCCCTTCCTGCTCCCCGCCAGCGTGCCTGTCTCCCCTTCGCCCGGCCCGCGCGGGCTGAATTTCGACCGCGCCGAGCCGCAGGCGGTCCCTGGAGGCGGGCTCAGCTCCGAGAGGACGGGGGAGGGAGGAGGAGAAGGAGGAGGAGGAGGACGAGGAGGAGGAGGAGGAGGAGGAGGAGAATTAACCCAAGAGTCATCAACGATGCTGGGATAAACCCTCCCTCCTCCTTCTTCATAGGCACCTACAACGGTTCATTGCCATTGAGGGAACTGCTTGCCTTGTTGGAGGACAACCGTTTGAAGACCCTGAACCATGGCGAAACATTGTTCTTCGGGATTCCAACGCCACGGATCAACCTGACTGTTGCGTGTTGACGATATTGAATCGTGCCAGAACGCCATTCCTGGGACTTCAACGCGCCGGATCAACGTAATTGTTGCGCCCGCGTAATCCTGAATCCTTTCAAAACACAAATCCTGGTCGTTGATGATGAGAATCCTTGAAACTCTTGCGAATTCTGTAAGCGAATGTGCGCGGCGCTGAGGCGAGAGCCACATTTTGAAATGGAACCGCCCTCAATCCGTGAAGCTCTTGCAAACTTTGAAAACGAATGTGCCCCGCGCTAAGGCGACAGCCACTTGTTGAAAACGGGCCGCCCCCAATCCGCGAAGCTCCTGCAATTATTCAAAACGAATGTGCGCCGCGCCAAAGCGAGAACCATATTCAGACAACAACCCGCCCTCAATCCGTGAAACTCTTTCAAATGTTTAAAACGAAGGCGCGCCGCGCTAAGGCGAGATTCACATTTTGAAGCTCGTGCAAATTGTTAAAACGAATGTGCGCCGCGCAAAGACGAGCGCCACATTTTGAAAACCACCCGCCCTCCATCTGTGAAGCTGCTTCCAATTTTTCAGCTTCAGAACCACTCGTGGTGAGGGAGTCTCAGGCGAAACGCCTGGCCCCGCCCTAAAAACTGTCTTCGGGGTGCGACAGGGAGAAGTTCTTAATGAGGAAAAGGAGTGGAGGAGGAGGAGGAGGAGGAGGAGGAGGAGGAGGAGGAGGAGGAGGAGGAGGAGAGGAGGCAAAGGAGGAGGAGGAGGAGGAGGAGGAGGAGGAGGCTGCTGCTGTGGAGCGGGCTAAACCCAGTTATGCAAAGCGGAAGAGCAGTCGGGGAGAGGACCCCCTCAGACTGCAGGCCCGCCCCCAGGAGAGGGGACGGGCGGCCCCCCAGGGGCCCAAGACCGAGGAGCCAGGGAGCAGAGGAAAGGAGGGCCCGACCCAGGACCGCAGTCTGAAGAGACCCCACCCCGACCCCCTCCCTCAGAGCTCCATCGTCTTCACAACCTCGGAGCCGACGACGACCCCTGGGAGCCCACCAGCTCCGTGTCCGCGCCCACGCGCGTCTCATAGGCCCACTGGAAGAAGGTGTCCCAGCTGCCGCCGTCCTTGAAGTACTTCACGAGCGCCTTCACGCTGTCGTCGCCCAGCCTGAGGCCGCTGCTCTCCAGCCTGAGCCTTACGCCCTCAAACTCGTTGCTGTCCATGCTGGTCTTCACGACGTCCGCATACGAACGTGGCACCGGCAGGACCATGGAGTCGCTGTCGTCGTCGACGCCCATCACGACCTCCACGTAGCGCTTGCGACGCCGACGTCCGCCAGGCTTCACGCCGTCCTCCTTGGGCTCGGCTACGCCCAACGTCCATGGCCGCGGCAGCTCCTTGACCACGACGTCAGCGCAGAGACGATCTGCCGCCAGTCGCTGACCTTGTGCCAACTCCTTCCTGCCGAAGGCGGCCGCGTTGACCTCGCGCAGGGCCTCCAAGTCGACCATCTTCTCGAAAAACTTGGACTCGACGCAGCTGTAGTCGCCGTCGCCGTCCTCCAAAACTTTCACGAGGTCCTCGAGCTTCTCCTCGCCGCGCTCGCCCTTGACGTCGGGCCGCGGGCGCAAAAAGCCGTCGGCCTCGCCCTTGATGCTGCGAGCTGAGGCTGCCTCCAGCGGATTCGGCCGCTGGTCCTTCCGCCCTCGCTCGTCCACGTAGGTGTGATGACTGCAGGCCGCCATCGCACTCCCGAAGTTGTCCCCCGACTCGATGCTCTCGGGCACCTGCTTGTCGAGGCCCGTCTTGAAGTAGATCTTATCGCCGAACTTGTTGAGGCCGTCTGAAGAGCTCGCCACGTCGAGCCCCTCGAAAAACTCCTCCACGCCCTGCTCGACGAAGTCTTCCAGCACATCGTCCTTCACGATATCGCTCTCCTGCTCCTCCTGGTGCTTGAGTTCGTTGTCTCCAGGGGCCGCCTCCACGCCGCCGACGTGTGCACCATCATCAGCGTCGTGAAACCAGCGCGCCCACTCGTCCGATAACCAGGCCTCCTCGACGTCGCTGGCGTCGAGGTCGAAGGCCATGACCAGCCTCAGCGCCTTCGGCTCCTCGAGCGGATCCTCCACGGTGCTGTGTCGAGCGCGTTGGACTTTTTGTGCTTCTTCTCCTTCTTCTCCTTCTTCTCCTTGCGAAGCCTTCGGGGGCGCTTCAGCTCCTCCCAGTCGGCCTCGTCGGTCTCCTCGCTGTTGAGGCCCAGAGATGCTGCAGTCGCCCCCGAAAGGGGGACCCCAGCGGAAATCCCCGGCTGCTTCCGCTCCGCGAACACCATGACTTGCGCCTCCTCGCTGCGGCCCGCCAAGCCCTCCGCCAGGCCGATCCCCGTCGCCACTGGCGAGCTGCGGGACGCTGAAGCAGCCGCCTCCGGCGCTGTCGTCCGCGTCCAGCGGTTCCTTCGCGCCGCCTCCGGAGCATCCACCGCGTCCTCGATCGCCAGGTGGGCCCGAGGTGGCGTGCCGCTCGGCCGCGGCCTCGCCTTGGGCTGCGGGGACTCCGTGGGGAGCGCCCGCGGGCGCGGCCTCGCCGACGGCACTGGTGCGGCCGCCGCCTCGTGCCACTCGCCTGGAGGCGGCGACAACGGCTGAGGCAGCGCCACCCGGAGGGCCGCCGTGACCGCCGCCGACACCACTGTCGACAAGGCTTCGCTCCGCCATTCCATTGGCTCGGGCGCACGGATGCCCGTTTCAAGTACGCGCGCCCAACCCCGCCTCGAGGGGAAACGGGCTAGGAGGAGGAGGAGGAGGAGGAGGAGGAGGAGGAGGAGGAGGAGGAGGAGGAGGAGGAGGAGGAGGAGGAGGAGGAGGAGGAGTAGTTGGAGGAGTTGGAGGAGTTGGAGGAGAAGGAGGAAGAGACGGAGGAGGAGGAGGAGAAGGAGGAGAGGGGGATGCTGCTGCTGATGATGATGCTGCTGCTGATGATGATGATGATGATGATGATGGTGATGACAGTGATGCTTAATATGCTGCTGATGGTGCTGCTGCTGATGATGAACATGCTGATGCTGCCGATGGGGATGATGATGCTTACCATGATGCTGATGATGATGATGATGATGATGATGATGATGATGATGATGATGGTGATGTAAAGGATGATGATGCTGCTGCTGCTGATGATGATGATGATGATGATGATGATGATGAGTCTGCTCCTGATTGTGCTGCTGCTGGTGATCATGATGCCGATGCTGATGATGATTATGGCAATGATGATGCTGATGATGACGATGTTTATGACAATGTTGATGAGGATTATGATGGTGATGATGATGATGATGATGATGATGATGATGATGATGATGATGATGATGATAACGCTGGTGATGATGATGACCTGATGAGCATGATGATGCTGATGCTGATGCTGATGCTGAGGCTGGTGCTGTTGTTGATGATGACGATGACGATGGTGACTGTGATGGTCATGGTGTTGGTGAGGGAGATGATGGTGCTGATGATGATGAGGAGGAGGAGATGGAGAAGGAGGAGAAGAAGGAGGAGGAGGAGGAGATGGAGAAGGAGGAGAAATGGAGGAGGAGGAGGAGGAGGAGGAGGAGGAGGAGGAGGAGGAGGAGGGAGGAGGAGGGAGGAGGAGGGAGGAGGGTGGACCGCGCGCGCCTCCCTCCCCGCCTCCGCGCCGTGTCGCCTCCGCCCAGTGACCTTTCGCGCTCTCTCTGGCCCTCTCGCTCTCTCTCCCTCGCTCTCTCTGTCTCTGTCTCTCTCTCTCTCTCTCTACGTATCCGTCTCTGCCTCTGTCTGTGCCCGTGTCTCTGTCTTTGTCCCTGCCTCTCTCTCTCTCTCTCGCTCTCTCTCTCTCTCTGTGTCTCTCTCCGTCTCTCTCTGTCCCTCGCTGTCTCTCTCTGTCTCTCGCTCTCGCTCTCTCTCTCTCTCTTTATCTCCCAGGCTCGAGCAGCCTTTAGCTGCCAGGTCTCACTGAGGGCAGCGGCGGTGTGGTATTCGCGGGTGTGTCGGTGGGTTGGTGTGTGTGGAGGGGCGGAGGAGGATTGAGAAGAACGACGAGAAGGGGAGGGGGATACTGATGGTGGTTGCGTTGTTGACGGTGGCAACGGCAACGGCGATGATGACGACGAAGCGATTGAGATGATGATGGTTTTGTTTCTTACTGGCAGGGGGTGATGGTGACGAGGAAGAAGATACTGAGGAGGATCTTGTGCATATATTCTCGTTTCCAGTCGGTTGGGTTCAATAATGGGCGTTGTGGGTCGATATCATACTATTGTGCTTCCGTCTGCCCGCAACCGTCGTTGTGCAGTCCAGCAGTGGTCCTCTTCCCAAAAGTTGCGTGCACCAGCTTATCCGACAAGGTGCCAGAAGGAGGGGACAGGGTGGGATAGGCTACTTCGCCGACGATGCCCCTCAGCATATGCACCCTCTGGGCACATATGAGTCAGTGTAAGAGGTCGCCATGACTGTTATTATCGCTGCTCCCATAGGAGGGCGAGGGATGAGGCGAAGGAGGGGGAGGAGCAGGAGGAGGAGCAGGAGGAGGAGGTGGAGGAGGCCTCTTGGGCCGTCTTGGAGGCTTCTTGGGGCCATCTTAGCCGTCTTGGAGGCCATTTTGGCCGTCTTGGAGGCCATCTTGGGGTCGTCTTGGAGGCCATCTTGGAGTCGTCTTGGAGGCATCTGGGAGGCATCTTGGAGGCCATCTTGGGCCATTTCGAGTGTCTTGGAGGACTCTGGGGTCGTTGTGAGTCCCTCTTGGGGGCCTCTTGGGTCGTCATGTGGGGCCACCTTGGAGGCCTCGTGGGCGATCTTGGGGCGATCTTTGGGGCCTCTTGGGCAGTTTTGGGCCGTCGGAAAGCCGAACATAATCACATGCCAGCATCTTTCCAAACATACGGAACATCCAGGATTTGTTCCTCCTTGGGCCTTCCTTGCAGACCCCTTGGAGGCCTCTTGGGCCGTCTTGGAGGCCTCTGGGGGGCCTCTTGGGCTGTCTCGAGGCAGACGCATCTTGGCCCGTCTTGTTGGCTTCTTTGGCGGACTTGGAGGCATCTTGCAACCTCTTGGGCCGTCTTGGAGGTCACCTTGGCCGTCTTGGAGGCATATTGGAGGCCATCTTGGCACATGTAGGCACCCCTGTGATAAACCAACGGGGTGGCGGATCGAAGACGGTTCGGCGAATCACCGCCGACCTCTGCCTGTTGGGAAGCGCCTCTGTGTCTAAACGTTGGGCCCCAGCTTGGCCAATCTATTGGACCATGTGGTCCCCCCAGCCGCTCTGAAAACTCTTGGGGTAACACTTGGGGGAGGATGAGAGGGAGGATCAGGAGAGGGAGGAAGAGGAGGAGGAAGAGGAGGAGTAGAAGGAGGAGACCTCCGGGGAGCCTCCTGTCGGGGCCTCCTGGGAGCTTCCTGGGGGTCCTCTCGGAGGCGTCTTAGGGGGCCCCCTTGGGCCTCTTGGGGGCCTTTCAGGCCTTCTTGGGGGGCCTCTTTGGCCGTCTTCAGGGCGTTCCTGGCCCAGCTGACGCCGTCGGGAGCCGTCTTGCGGGCCTCGCTGACTGGACTTTTGGGGCCCCCTGGGGATGCTTCGTGGCCCCTCGTGGGCGTCTTGGAGGCCTCTTGGGCCGTCTTGGGGCCCTCTCTTGGGCCCGTCTTGGGGGCCTCTTGTGCCGTCACAGGGCCGTCTTGGAGGCTTCTTGGGCGATCGTGGGGCGATCTTGGGAGCCTTTTGGGCCGTCGGAAAGCCGAGAAGTAGCCAATACACAAAAATCCTTGAAACACCTGAGGAGAGTCTATGATGTTTGCCTCCTGAGGCCTTCCTGCATGGCCTTTTGGAGGCCTCGTGGGCCGTCTTGGAGGCTTCTTGGGGGCCTCTTGAGCCGTCTTGGGCCATCTTGAGGCCATCTTAGGCCGTCTGGGGTGCATCTTGGGCCGTCTTGGAGGCATCTTGGGGCCATCTTAGCCGTCTTGGCGGCCATCTTGTCCGTCTTGAAGGCCATCGTGGGGTCGTCTGGGAGGCATCTTGGAGGCATCTTGGAGGCCATCTTGGGCCATCTTGGCTGTCTTGGCAGCGATCGGGCAATTTTTTCGGCAGACTGTGAGGCCTTCCTGGTGGCCAGCGCGCTGGGCCAAAGCCCCACGGGGAGTTCTTCTGGACAAGAACCAACATCCAAAACGGTAGGGCCTACCGCGCCAGACACCGCTGTGATAAACGAACAGGTGGCGGCGGACTCGGGCGCTCCAGGGACGTCATGGAAGTCACCTTGGGCGTCACGGAGGCATCTTTGCCCGCCATGAGGCGCTATTGGGGCGATCTTCAGGAGCTCTGGGGCCGTCATTGGGTCATCTGAGAAGCGTCCTGGGCGACCTCGGGAGCCTCACGGGCCATCTTGGGCCATCGGAAGGCAAAACGACAAAAGTTGATCTCTTGGGGCCGTCCTGGAGGATTCTTGGGCCGTCTTGAACCATCTTGAGGCCATCTTAGGCCGTCTAGGGTGCCTTCTTGGGCCGCGTGAGTGCCGTCTTAGACGCCACCTTGAGCGTCCTGGAGGCCTCTTGGACCGCCTTGGGCCTCTCTTGGGGCCGTCTTGGAGGCCTGTTGTGCCGTCGTCGGGCCATTCTGGAGGCGCTTCGGGCGATAGCGAGGCGATCTCATGGGCCTCTTGGGGCACTCTTGGAGCCTCCTGGGAGCAGCTACCTGGGGGCTTCTTGGAGGCCTCTTGGGGCTTTCGCAAGGCCGACAAGCAGCGAATGCCAAAATCCTTCAAAAACCTAAGGAGCATCTATGACTTTGGCCTCTTCGGGCCCTCCTGGTGGACCTCTTGGAGGCCTCTTGGGCCGTCTTGGAGGCCTCTCGGGGGCCTCTTGGGCCCTCTTGGACCGTCTTGGAAGCTTCTTGGGCGGACTTGGAGGCATCTTGGACCCTCTTAGGCCGTCTGGGAGGCCATCTTGGACCATCGTGGGTGAACTTGGAGGCCATCTTGGGCCATCTCAGCGGTTTTGGAGGCCGTCTTGGAGCCCTCCTGGAGGAGAAGAGCGATGGAATGGACTTCTTCGGCGGCTTTCTGGGTGGCTGGCACGCTGGGCCGAAGCCCCACGGGGGAGTTCTTGTGGAAAAGAACCACAACTCGCCGAGCGCGTCCCACTACTCGCAAAGTGCCTACTCGTCATATGTTTGCCCTTGTGTAACATATGATCGCGGGCTCAGGGCCCACGGGCCCCCCCCCAGATGGGATGGGTCCCAGGGTCCTCGGGCCCCTCCCCCCCAGATGGGATGGGGGGGGGAGGAGGAGGAGGAGGAGGAGGAGGAGGAGGAGGAGGAGGAGGAGGAGGAGGAGGAGGAGGAGGAGGAGGAGGACGACGGCAATGACGACGACGACGACGACGACGACGACGACACCGACAACGACGACGACGTAAACGACGACGAGGACAACGACGACGACGACACCGACACCGACGACGAGCGACGACACTTCACGACGACTACGACAACTACGCCGTCGCGGCACCACGCACGCGGCGGCGACGACGTCGAGCCCAGAGCTGTCAACATGACGCCATCCCAGCCACACGCCGCACTGCCCACACCGCACCCAC